GGTGTATATCACTTTAAATTCGCACTGTCATACAGTTTCGCATTTATCAATCAGTTGTTTCTACTTCTCTATTTTTATCTTGTTTTATTGATCCTCGGCTAATTCCTTTGGCTTCATAAAGCAGGATTCCAAAGCCTTACGCGGAGTCAAAGTGATTATTCTTCGCAATTTCATTATTGATAAACGAATGAACTTTGAAGCTTTCTGATCATCACATAGCTTCCAATGATGCCTTTGAGAAAATTCTCGCAGATCCGGAGCATCCTTTGCGTATTGAAATTGGATAGTGTTGCTTCCGTAGCCCCATGCGGTTTGAATCGAAACACACTGCATCTCACGGGAAGTCTTCTTTGCATTATCTAGCACGTTGAAGTACCAAAAAAGAGGGGTCGGCGAATGGGGTCCCTTTTCAATCTTGTTATTTCTGTTAATAAAATATTTTTCCTGCAACGCATTTACGAGACGGTTAGCAAGCATGAGGCGCTGGGCATGTATACATTACGGTACAACACAAAAATATATCGTCTTAATGAAATTACTGTGCCTCTCCGGTACATCAATACTACTCAAGTAACTGTCAAAAAGTGGAACGATTAATAGGATACCACAACCGTTGATTGTAAAAAGCTGCGGTGATATTCAAAGATTAAGCGGAGAATAAAAAAAGTGATTGATTCATCGCGTGTTTGTCGGAAACATGCATGTGATTCATTAATGAACTTCTCAGATATAGGTGATAGCCTAAGGGATAATCGTAAACAACTTTTATAGTAACGGAGTCAAAATTGTACCTCCAGAGTTATTACAGTCCATTTCAGCGCTCGTTGTGAAAAAGAATAATATGGGCCGAGGCCGTTTTCCGTCTCCGGATAGTGCCACCAGGGTAGTAAACCACTCGTTTATGACAAGCATTCCGCTTTAATGTTCACAAGTGTTTTTTATTGCACACTATTTCGTAATAAACAGTGATCTGAACATTCGTCGGACCGAATAATGTTGACCCTGCTGTGATCACCAGGTCTTCTGTGGGTTTTTGTTTTTTTGGAGGGTTGTACGCTCTGAAGTACGTTTCTTGATCTGTAATGTGTTTCTTTGTGGCCCAGTTTGTGACACTTTTGACAGACGAGTTTAAAATATGGGCGAAAGCTGACAACACGCCACTCACCACATCTCTAACAGGATGCCGGAATCCTCGTTTATTGGATTTTGTAAAGCTGGATTCTTTTGGTTGACGGTTGTTGGAGGTTGTCCGAAACACATTGGAAATGATTAGTGATTGCTTTACCAGCATTGTCGTATCATGCTTGAGGTTTACCAATCGTTGGCACTCGTTAGCGATAGTCTTGAGGGTCAAAGTGACTCGGTCCGACGAATTCTTGGCTCACAGAAAGTACGTCACAGTGTTGATAAATGGAAAACGAAAGCGCTTTCAGTTGGACACTGATTCTGATCCTAACGTAATTTTGTTGCAAAATTGGAGAACTATTGGGGCACCATTCATCCAACCAACAACCCACATAGCATTCAACTTGTTGGTGAGTTCCGGTGTGATTTCTCTTTTGGCCCTGTTCACGCTACTGGTGCTGTGTCACACACCGGCCAAACTTGAACATACTTAGTCTGGATTGGATTCACAACCTTCGACTGTTGAATGATTCATTGAATCAGATTTGTAACAATCTTGAAGTACAAGGCTCAACCTTACCAGTAGATGAAGATAACAATTAGTTGACTCTCGGAAAAAGTGAATACCAAAAGATGAAGGCACTCTGGGGGAGAACATCGATACTTCTCTGTTGACATCACAGAAAAAACAGGAGACGGTCGAAGCGAAAATGCAGATTCGTATCCCCCAAGTAAGTCGACCCACGATTAAAAGCCTGCGATTCAGCTTCAATGGGAGACGGACCGCACAGAACCCGTTAAGCCATGTATGGGTCTGCGTCACACCACAAGCACGCTAGTAACGCCCAAGGCGAATTGATCCCGGATTGAATGACTATGGTAAATCAGACAGCTGTCGCCCGATCGGAATGTCGCGGACGCAATCTAATTGCTACGTCAACACATCCAATTCACCCACTTAGATTTGCGTATATATGCGTATGCCATCCCGACCATACAATACACTGACTTTTGTTCTCCAGTTTTGTTCTCTCTCCCGTACAGATCGTACGTCTAGGCAGAACATAACGAACCAACAATTAAAGCGTTTGGATTTGGAGTGACAAATCACACGATGATCCAGATGAGGCATTTAGCGGAGCGACAGAAAAGCCTAGGAGCGAACAAAAGTTAAATAATCAAAAAATGAAGTTTTACTCAGTGCGACAGAATAACCAACGAGAATCTCCATGTGAAAAGATAACCAGGAGAGACAACACTTACTGCACATTGGTTAATCGCTGATAAAGCAGATCCAAATCGGACAAAACGCGAACGCGCTCCGCACCGGCTGCTGCGGATTCGGAATCTTCCATTTGGATAAAGTGATCGTATTTTTCAACTACAATTGCGCGCAACCGCTTTCGTTCCCGTTTAGCCTCCTGTTTCAGTTGTTCCCGTTCTTTGCGTAGCCGTTCCGCCTCCACCCGTTTACGCTCCTCGCTTGCTGCACGAACGGCTGCCTGTGCTTCGGTTTCGAGACGTACACGCTGATCAAAAACCGCCAAGGATAATGATACACAGAGAACGAAAAACGCATGAAGACTGACCAGAGAATAAACAAACCAGACTAGGTGTAACGGATAAAATGCCATAACTATGTGACTTCTTATGCTCAGGTAACACGCTATCCTGGAGTATCATATAAGGAGAACAAAAAGTCGATTTGATTTGGATAATCAACATCAGGTAGACCCAATAATAACCTATCAACGAATGTTTTATA